TAAAATTTTTTAGTGTAAATAGTACTCTTTAAAAAAGTCGATCTATTCAAACCAAGTTACCAGACTACTACCTTAAGAGAGCTAAATTTTAGCCGATATTTTTATTCACTTCCTATTTTCATACTTTCCATAATTTCGTGTTGATAACTTTGGTATATTAGGTAGTATGTAAAAACCAGAAGGACAAGAAATTTATACCGATCGGATCATAATGATGAACTGAGTTTATTTAGCAATGTTTGTCTGTCTGTGCATCTGTTTGAACACAATCTTGGCGCTCACTTTACGCTCACCGACATCTTCAAATATGACCAATGAAAATTCTATCGAAAAACCATTTAAGAGCGTGAAATTGGGAATTCTCCACACACAAATTCAAATGACCAGTGACCGTGAAAATCATCAGAATCGGGAGACTATATCATTTAGTACTCTCCAGTGAATTCTTCAGATACAAAAATTAGCATTTAATCCTAACGTAAAATACCACACATTTCATATGGGGAAAAAAGGTATAAAGGCTTAATTCTTCCAATTAATTTTCTATAATTTTTGATGTTGTGCGGACCCGGGCTCTAACTCAGGATATTCCTCATGTGAGGCAGTCGTCTCGGACTTATCTGCGTAGCCAAGCGACTTCATATAACTCTGCAAAAAGCTGTGCAGCGATGTTAAAGCTCACGATATTGACGGCTACGCCACAGGCGCACGGCGCAAGGTAATGCGCTCACGATGAATTTTCTTTAATGAATTGAATTGGCTGTATGGCATTTAGCGCTGTCTTGTTGGAGCTAAGGGTTGTCTACATCAACAGCTTCCAATTCAGGCAAGAAAAATTCATTAATAATGGCTCTAGGGTGTTTGTCATTGACTGTAAGATTTGGGCGAGCTTTATTTTTGAGGCGTACGAGTTATATGAGTTAATGTAGTTCAGCGAATAAAAAGACAGCGTCTACGCTGGCTGAGTCATGTCGTTCGAATGGATGAGAGCACTCAAGCTCTGAAAGTATTCGATGCAGTACTCGCTAGTGGAAACAGTGGAAGACCTCCACTCCGTTGGAGGGATACGGTGAAGAGCGACGTGGCTTCACTTGGCTTTTCCAACTGACGCCACACAGCGAAAAGAAGAGAGGAATGGCTCGCTAATATTGATTCGGTTATAATCGCGTAAGCGGTGTCAACGCCAATAAAGAATAAGAAGAAGAAGAAACCAAGATTCCCCCTCAAAAATTGCTGTAAAGTGGATGGGTACAGCGCCATTTACTGCGCGCTATGTCGGATGAACTCTTTGGGGTCTTCTTTGATACTCTTATTCATGGAAGCAAAAACTGGTGCCGTGTGCTTTATACACTAGTGTAAACGTGGATCGGCTTTCCATTCATAGTTGCTGGAATTTCAAACACTACAGGTTGGTTATGTCCATCGATACGGTGTTCGAACCGAACCATGATTTTTATAATAAATTGTACCATTTCCAAAGAGTCTTTGCTCTTCAATATGGAATGACAAACCAAACTGGGCATAAATCAGGTATCAACTGTTGAGGGTATAAACTCTATAAAAATTACGCTCTATGAATATATATGATTTACTTTGCCCATCAACATGCCCCTAATGGACCAGTAAATTAATTAAAAGGCAATTTGCATCATCATTTATTGCCACGATATTCGCTTATTCACACCAAAGAGGACTCCTCATTGAGTATTCCCTTTTCTAGAATGTTTCTGCTCATACATATGTACATACCTATGTATGTAGGGGAATAATGAATTTACGAATGAAACACAGATGATGCACCAATAACATAGGAAAAAATCGTTTAACTTTTTTTTTTGTTGTTGTTGCAAACACATATATACATACATTTGCGCAGATGAGCAATGCTACAATAATTTTTGTCCACAGATTGATAAATACATATACATACTCGTTTGTACATACATACATACTCTTATACTTTGATGAATAATCCTTTTAGAAAATATCTCATTCGTTAATTAAATTGCGCGATTGTGGAATTTCTTGTTAGTTGTTGTTGTTGTTGTTGTTAGTAAGTAGCCGCTGTTAATCGATATTTGCTAATTAGCAAAGTTTCTCCACCACTCTCTGTATGCCCCCCCTAGGTAGGTATGTATGTCTGTCTGTATATATGTCAGTATGTATGTGTGACTTTCGCACTAGCATAACTTTATTAATTAGCAAATCAGTTGTAATTACATTTAATTACTCAAAAGTGGAGGATTTAATAAACATGTATTGTAGATATTTTCAACACTCGTCACGCGCTAAATTCAATAACAACAATAATAGCAACAACAACTAAAAAACAACAATAACAGATTTAATGCCATTCTAATGCAGTTGAGTTGAGGTTTGGCGCTTAACACTTGAGTTGTTCCAAGTACTTGTTTTGTTTTTGTTGCTGTTTTAATGCAATGTTTGCTTAAAACTATTTAATTTCAGTAATTCAAGTGTCTACTTTAGCTAAACTGTTATTTGCGTCAATAATGCGACATTCCTGAATAATTGTTTTGAAGTGTTTGCTCGTGTGTTGCCTCAAAAAAATGAGTGAATGTTTGCCGGATGAAGACTTGAGCCCTGGCTTTCCGACGGGTAGTCGGTACCCTTTTCCTTATTTATCGGCGTAAGCTTACGCATTTATAGCCGCATATATTCGCTGTTGGCGCCCATTGGAAATACCAAGTAAAACCAGGTCGCACTCCACCTGATCCTTGCAACAGATTCAACTAGTACAGTTCATCGTTACGGCGCTTGCGGTATTCACCGTTGTCTTCCATCGAAGACTGGTGGATTTCCGTCCTTCACGTCTAAGCTTCTGCGCTTTACAGCGGTAGGGGAATGATGAGGGACTTGTAGAGCTTGGTTTTGGCTCGTCAGAAGAGGTACTTACTCCTCTAAGAGCGAAATCTTCTCGTCGAGCGTGTTTTTGTCTTACCATATTTGGCAAAGAAGCTGATGCATGCATGTTGTTAGCGCTTCGACGCAAAGCTATTAGCTCATCATAATATTGCGATGTGGGCAGTCTGTATTGCCTCAACTGTAGTTCGAAATTTCTTATCGTACCAGTTCTTTTTCATGTAGTACCGAAAACCGATTGTTTCCGCAATTACGATACGTGGTAAGTTTAAGAAACCGTTTCACATATCCTATAGATCGAGTTGCTAATGAATGCGCTTACGTCAGTGCGGGGCCGCATATCAGCGAAGCCTTGTAAAATTTCGCTTTGATTTTGAGAGAGGTTCATCCACTGGAGTGTATGCCAGTAAATACTGTGCAACGGAGTCTCCCTCCAACCTTTTTTTTTTTGCTTTAAGTGCTCCTCAGCCGTGAAACAGAAAACTTACAAATGCATGGATATCGCATAATCAATGTACCTGCCGCTTTCGCTTTCTTGCTTGCATATAAATAGCCTACTTGCTCCTATAAAGGTGTGTGAATTCCCATTTCTATTTCCTCTTGACGTTTATGTACATTGCAAGTGTTGTAGTATATCAGGTGTACAACTCTGCTTCCGACGTTATTTTTCCAAAATTAAAAGCTTTATTGTGAAAAAGTGCTTGCAGATATATCATTCAAAGTATTGTCCTTCGCTAGCGGCAACTTTCTCCCATCTCTCCGGCAATTTTCGGATCCCGGCTCGAAAAAATTAGTCCACTTATGACGCAATCCATTTTTCCAATTCTTCGAAGGATTGAAAATGTTGATCTGCCAGACCGTGTGCCATCGAACGGAATAGGTGGAAGTCAGAAGGGGCGACGTGGGGCAAGAGTTCCCATTTCAGCGTTTCCAAGTACTTTTCTTTTAGAGCGTGACTAAGGCGCATCAGCTGCGTTCGGTAGCGATCTCCTGTGATGGTTTCACCCGGTTTTAAGAACTCTTAGTAAATTATACCGAGCTGATCTCACCAAATACAAATCATAACCTTGTTTGTCTTCGACATCGAAATCACAATTTTTAAAACGTTGAAACCACTCCCGACACGTTCTTTCACTCAGAACAGCATCACCGTAAGTTTCTGAGGGCAAACGGACATTTTCGAGCGTGAATAATACGAAAACAAGAACAACTGTCACTGAAACGGCGATGACAATTCGTTAGGCACTGTCCACACTCACTTTAAAGGCATTATCATCTATGTACAATATTTCAACCACCCTCAGCCGGTACAGCCAACCATCGGAAAACGACGGAATCAAAGTTGTACAACTGATATTTGGAAAACGCCTAGTCTTCCAGGTTACAGGACAGGTTGTTAATCATATCTTTCTTTTCCGAAAACGTTCCCTGAAATGAGTCACTTATCGGGGGACTTTAATCTTTCGAATAATGCGCTAGATTGTGGGACCCTCTTTTTTTTAATTAGGCAAAGCATACTAAAATTCCAAATGTCGGACAAGTGTTCATCCGATTACATTGCACAATGAAGCTTATGAATGCTAGAGTTGCTTGTTAAAACATCGGCTTACACCGCTTTGTTATTTCTTACGTGGGAATTTCGAAATTCGTATTAGAAGAGCAATAGATTTTTGGTTCAACTCATCCGTAGATGTCACCTTCACTGCCATTCAACAGGTTTGAGAAATCTTCTAATAATATCAGTATGCTCTGGACAATTATAACCAGGTTGCCTTCTTGGTTCCTATACATTACTATGGCTCTGGTTGTGAAACCTTCTATCAGTCGCCGCATGGTCTATAAATAGTGTGGTTTAATGTACTTTTTTTTTGAAATCATAAAACCATATATATTTTTGGAAAAAAATGTTACTAAACTAGAAATGTTGCTAGAAGTAAAATGTTGAAGAACTTAAAATGTTGTTGGGCATAAAATGTTGCTGAACCTAAAATGTTGCTGAACGTGAAATTTTTCGCTAGAAAAATATTAGAGTGTGATGGATACAATCTTGTCTAAACAAACTTATGCTTAATTTGTAATGCAATTAAATGTTTTAATTAAATTTTTTTATTATCTTGTAGGTCCTCAAAAATAACTGTCGATTTAAAAAAAAATGCAGAAAGTGGCAACTTCATATGCCGCAATTCAGTTACCCATTTATAAGTCTGAGAAAAGGGCACTAAAATAACACAATAAACGCACAGAATTCCGCACCAAAACTCATCAAAAGCGCACGTTACTCCAAAGATAAACAAACTTTTTCAAAAAAAAATAACAGATCAGGAAAATCACAGCATTCGAAGGCACTATAAACATTGCCAAGGCAGCCAAAGTACGCCAATTTCCAATTAATTCAGCTACACACAGTAGCCTGCGTGCCATTATCAGTGGCTCTTGTAACGGTAAATATTTGAAAAGGAAACTAAATGACGCCAATCTTTACAACGACAACTACAACAACAACCACTTTAAATCAAACATATCGCGCACTAATGCGGCAGGACCGAACAGAAGTAGAAGCGCTGAAACAAATTACAATAAATAAAATACCCACAACAACAACAACAGTAATAACAAAGGCAACACCAGCATCTGCATTGGCTGGGTACCAATCGTGCGTGCTGCTATAAGCTTTTCAAATTAGTTGCGCAGAAAAGGAAGTGGGTGCGTACGCCATATTGGTCGGCCGTTTGGTTAGTCAGCGGGTGAGTGAGTTTGAGAGCAGGGTACTTGGCGCAAGGAGGGCGCACAGCAAAATCGACATTTTTGGCAGAAATCCAGAACGACGACGACACACACACACACATAAACATAAAACCGTAAACGGAAACACGAGTGTAAACGACAGGCTGAAAATTGTTTGGCAATCGAGTTCCGTTCGTTGACTTGGTGGCACTGCTCACTGCCAACTCAGCTGGACGTGTGAAGCAGAGTGTGTGCGCACAGTGTGCACAGTGGGCAATTGGCCAATATATTCCGTTTTTTCATGGATACTTTGTACTCCTATGCATGTGTGTGCGCTTCAGGTGTTACATATATAACTATAACCACGTGCTATTACGAGAGGCGTTAAAATATCAACCCACTGGTGTGCGCATAACGATAATCAACATTTTTTAGATCGCAAACATAAACATATACATTTAGTGGTTTTCCAACGCTGTGACTGTGATTGTAAAAATCATTTTGTGCGAATAAAATAACAGTGTTGCATTTGTATTGCTGCTTGGCAAGCATAAATTCCATCGTCAGTCGTCATACATATAATTTGTAGCGGTTAAACGTACACTTCGAATCGGTATTTAATTCTCGTTGCTGCGTTCAAGCACATTCACACCTTACTTGAGGCGGCGGTACACTTGTAAGCCGCCCCTTACGACCGACACACACACACACGCCCATAAATACATTTTTCTGTAGAGAGATATTTTTCCAGCCGGCCAAAGGATACAATAAAAAACCGCCAACCTGGAACTAATGGAATTAGAGAATATTGTGGCCAATACGGTCTACTTGAAAGCCAGAGAAGGTAAGTGTGAAAATGCTATAATTATATTATCATCAAAGAAAACGCCTGCAATTTTTATACAATAAAGTAATCATAATACATATTTTTATGGTAAACACGAGCTACAGCTGTGTATACTCACTTTAAAAGGCTTTCAAAGGTCAAATCCATTGTCTCTGGTCTTAAATTGAAGGTGAAGAAAACGCTTTGTACGTTGGAGAACACACTGCAGGCAAAGGTATGCACTGCACCTTAACTTTATTTTATGAACAATGGTATGTGTGCTCCAATACACCCGACGTCTTTAGCATATACAAGATTGACTCCACTTGACTGGTGTTGGTGTTTAGATAATGTGGATATCTGTACTGTATCCAGATCTACTCAAAGTATTTATTGGATGAGTGCATAAGCTCGTGCCCGATTTCAAGTGCAAACTCTTTTATTAATCAATTATGTATTCGCCATCATGTTTGGCAATCCACTCCCAACGTTCAACCAATTTACGGATGCCTGATTCATAGAAATCGTGCGGTTTCTCGTTGAAAAAGGTGTCAAGGTGGTTTTTGACGTCTTCCACATTTTTTAATTTTTTTCCATTCAAATTGTTCTGCAGCAATCGAAACAAATGATAATCAGAAGGTGCAATGTCGGGTGAATATGGGGATGCGGCATGATTTCCCAATTCATCTCCTTCAGTTTGGCCAGGGTCGGTTTTGCAAAATGTGGCCTGGCGTTGTCATGAGGGAAAAGAACTCCTTTGCGATCGGCCAAAATCGGACGTTTTTCATCAATTGCTTTCTTCAATTCGACCAATTGCTGACAATACTTGTTGGCAGTGATCATTTCTCCAGCGGGCAAGAGCTCAAAATAGATCACGCCTCAGATATCCCGACAAATGCACAGCAGTACCTTCATCGGATGCAATCCACCTTTCGACATCGGTTCCGCCCCTTCGTGTGCCTGTTTCCGTGTTCTTTTGCGTTGAACATTGTTGTACAGGATCCATTTTTCATCACCAGTCCCGAGCCGATCCAAAAAAGATTCGTTTTTGATCCGTCGAAGCAAAGAAATTGCTGTTGACATAGGGTCCACTTTGTTTTTTTTTCACTCAACTAATGTGGCACCCATGTATCGAGCTTCAAAGTGTACCAACCTTTTTTAAATGACGAAACTCAGAAGGCCGTCCACTGCGAGGTTGATCTTCGAGGTTAAAATCTCCAGAACGAAATTTCGCGAACCATTTCTTTACTGTGCGGAGTGCTGGAGCACGGTCCAAATAAACTTCGCGAATATCTTTAGTTGCAGCGCCTACTGTTTTTCCTTTGCGGAATTCGTATAACATAATATGACGCATATGATCTTTTTCGTTGTCCATCTCCCATTCCATTTGTATGAGGAGCTTTATTTCATGTGAGAAATAGACTCGGAGGTTTTGACATTCCTTGCAACTATAAAATTTAACTTAATTTTTAATTTAAAGTAATTTTCTACAAATGTTGGAATGTGCTTGGACCACGACTCGAACCTTAGCCTTTCGAATGGCAGAACGCAGTGCTAACTACTCCGCTGGTCCATATAAATGTTATAAAAATACACTTCAGAACTTGTGTTGCTTGGAGGGATAATCTTATATCGCTAATCTTTTTTTTCAGACAGTGTACTTAATCTTGGTCGTCGACACCCGTTTTCTATGCAGAGCGTTGCTGACTACTCAAAAGTTGATTAGGAGTACTCACAACATTGCAAAACTCGCACTTTGTTCATCAACTTTTTACCTTGAAGAGTAGTGTAGTTTTACTATATAGGACATTGTAATTCGTCAATTGTTGAAGTCTATATTAAGTTTTCTTTGTTGGCTAAGAGTGTAACATTTATGTCTCGGTCAAAACTGGCAGCAGCAAAAGGTAAATTATTGCGAATGAGCTTTCGTTTTTCTTAATTTGGCTTTCAGTGGAAGTCAAATTACCCTCAACAATGTCGTCAGTTTTCTTTGTTCAAAAAATGTTGAATACTTTTGATTATATAGTGCTGCTGTGTTGTCAATTTTCGCCTTTTGAAAAAAAATGTTCTGCAGCAATGTTGCCAATTTTCTTTCTTTCATTTTTCGGAGTTTTTCCAGTGATTTTAAAATATATTCCATTTTCTTTTGCTTTCTTGCTTTGGTACGTTGTCAATTTTCGTTATCGCACAAAAAGTACCAACGTTGCCATTTTTCAAGAACTTCATTATCAAAAATTTCGATTTAAAAACAAAATAAATAATTAAAAGTACATGGCTAGCTTTTCATATCGCTCTCTCTCTCTCTATCTCTCAGAATTTTACACATCCCAATAATGAGTTTTATCATAAAATTACCGCTATCTAAAAATCTGCTCATAGCTCATGAAGCATATTCTCAGACCTTATACAGCTTCCAATTAAATTTCTGAAACGCTAAATCCCTTTCGTTCTCTTACATAAATTTACACGTATATATTGCTTAATCTGATCAAATATTCACCTAAGAGCATATCGCCGAATTAAATCAGCGTCTGTCCGTACATATGTTTGTTAATTAAGCAACACATTTGATAAAATGCTTTCGATAGAAATAATCTCTCTTTCATCTACATGCGAATTAATTCACTTCAATGCTCACCAATACATACACCTGCATACCTTTCTTACTGCTACGTCTGCCACCATTAGTCGTGCGTTTGTATGTGTTGATTGTGGCTTGCGAAATTTCTTATTCTCATTTAATTGTCTTGCCGCTGTAATCAAAGAATTAATTATAATACATGCGTTAATAAGAAATAATTCACAGCACTTAATTACGTTGACATTGGGGATTACTTGCGTATACTCATGCATATTGTTGTAATTTAATCCGGGATTTCATGCAGTAACTCCCTGTCCGACAGGAAAATAAACCCTTCGGAAGATAAATGAAATAAACAAAGGTTTAATTTACTCCATGCAAAAAATATCTCCCTTCCGCTTTTTTGTCTTTTTAATTTCGCGGCTATGTACAAAGCGCTACAGAGCTCGTATCTGGCAACACTATACATAATTTGAAAGGTCTTGACATAACCTACAAAACAACGCTATGCATGATTAGTTTGGATATTGCGTTCAACAGTTATAGACGTGTAAACATGGAGTTCACTAACGCCGAAATTCGCGCTATTTCAAAGTTTCTCTTCGTTAAAGGCAAATCCGCTAGAGAAACGTTCCGTGAGATTAATGGTGTTTTGGGAGATGATACTCTATCACTTCGAACCGCGGAGGAATGGTTTCGACGATTCAGAGCCGGTGAAAACGACACCTGTGACGACAAATACCGATCAAATCATGGAATACATCGAGTTAGACCGGCATATAGCATCTCGTGACATCGCCCAGGAGGTGGGAGTTAGTCACCAAACCATTTTGAACCATCTTCAGAAGGCTAGATACAAAACAAAGTTTGATGTTTGGGTGCCACATAATTTGACGCAAAAAAACCTTCTGAACCGAATCAACGCCTGCGATATGCTGCTGAAACGGAACGAACTCGACCCATTCTTGAAGCGGATGGTGACTGGGATTGGAAGGGAATCATCCACTATGAGCTGCTGCCCTATGGCTAAACGCTTAATTCGGCCCTCTACTGCCAACAACTGGACCGCTTGAAGGCAGCACTCAACCAGAAGAGGCCATCTTTGATCAACAGAGGCCGAATTGTGTTCCACCAGGACACCGCCAGACCACACACTTCGTTGATGACTCGTCAGAAGCTACGGGAGCTCGGATGGAAGGTTTTATCGCATCCACCATATAGCCCGGACGTAGCGCCAAGTGATTACCACCTGTTCCTGTCCATGGCGAGGGCCCTTGGTGGTGTGAAGTTGAACTCAAAAGAGGCTTGTGAAAAGTGGCTGTCCGAATTCTTCGCAAATAAGGAGGGGGGCTTCTACGAGGAAGGTATTATGAAGTTGCCGTCTAGATGGAAACAGATCTCGAACAAAACGGCGCATATTTTAACTAAATCCGATCACTGTAACACTTTTTATAAAGCATTGAATGAAGGGCAAAAAAGCGGACAACCTTATATTTTATGTTAAGAATAAATATTAATTTCAATATTTGAAAAAAAGAGATAAAGAGAGAGAGAGAGAGAGCGAGAGCGAAAGCATAGTAAGAAAAAGGGGGAGAGAGGGGACGCAGTATAGTAATAGAGAGAGAGCGAAGGGAGAGATAAAGATAGATAGAGAGAAAGGAGACCAAAAGAAAAAGAAAAAGAATGTAGAGTAAATTAGAGAGAGAAAGAAATGAGAAAGGGAGAGTGAAAAAAAGAATATTAAAAGTGGGAGATAGAGGAAAATAGAATGAGATATATAAAAAGAGAAGAAAAAAAAGAGAGAAATAGAGGATATATATATAGGAAGAAAGAAAGAAAGAGCTGAATAAGAGGAGTAAGGGAAAATACACATGTAGAGGAAGAGGCAAGGAAAAAGAAAAATAGAAGAGAGAAATATAATAAAGAAGGGGGAAAGAAAAATAGATGAAAAAAAGACAGAGAAGGAGAAAGAAAGACAGATAGGGATAAAGCAAGAAAGAAGGAAAAAGTAAGATAGTAAGGGAGAGAGAGAGAGAGAGAGAAAAGGAGAAAGAAAAAATAATCAAAAAGAGAGAGAGAGAGACAGAATAAGTCGACATGATTTGAAAGGAGATCACAACTAGTAATATTGCTTGAATTCTGTTGAGGCTAGCTAACTCTAGACAAGGCTATCCCAACCTATTTGAGTGAAAACGAGACGAGTTTAGCGAGAGTGAGACTGATATGAATTGCACCGATTTAAATTGAGCTTAGCTGAGTTGAATAGAACTCAGTTGACAACAATAAATGAGAATACCGACGGCAGAAAGCTAATTAAATTATTTAACGCCACTTATTTCCTTTTTTATTTTCTTCCTTTTTTTTAGCAATATCTTGCCAAATATAGCATTTTCCTTAGATATACATACTACACATCAATTACTTCAGGCTTATTCTT